TATCTATCTATGTGTAAAGGTAGTGAAAATTTTCTGTTGGGTTTCTGCCACAGCCTCTCCTGAATAGGGTTATCTGTTCTCTGCAGAATGATAAAGATTTTCAGTCAGAGCAGCTCTTCTGATTTTAATAAGCAAAATAGAAATGTTCTTGTATACATTAGTGCCTATGGAACATAATTTCTAAGTGAGGGACTAGTACACTTTTGACTTCTCTGTATGTGGTCCTTCCAAACCGTGCCATAAAAGAGCATTTCCTTGGAGAGCTACTCTAATTACTGGTGGTGCAGGTGCTTGTGAAATTTAACTGCATGAAAATTACAATTAATTACATTTGTAACACTGCTTCTTCATGAAAGTAGTAGTAATTTAATATTCTCAGATAGTATTAACCATAAATATTTTTGCCAATTATGGTGTTTTCATTTGAGAAGGAAGATGGTAGTCCACACAGATGGAAACCCTGTGGCATGGGATCTTAGGGACAGATCTGCACTGGATAAAAAAATAATGATGTGAAGTTCCCTAAGACAGAACYGGGTAGAGAAGAACGATCCACATGGTGAATCCTATACCCTGAGTAGGTGRAGTGTGAATTTGGAAGCTGTGTTGTTAGCACCTGAGCCATTAGTTTTACCTGTTTAACCAAGTTTCTTATTTTTGGTTCACCCTTATGTTAGGAATGTTCCTGTCTCCAAATCAGCTTGGTGTCACCACCACACTCCCTTGTGAGGAGCAGGCTTGCTYGTCCAAACTGTGTTTCTCATGATGAAAAAGATTATTGCTCTTTCCTTAGCCATGCTTTCAGAACATTACTAATACTAGTGGCAATCATAAAATAAAAGACTACAATCTTGGACCGTGTAAAATTGTTGCAATATTGGCAGTTCACAGAAATGAATTGTTTGCTTTCATGCAAGGAAATATTTTCAAATTAGAAATGTAATATGTATTTATTGAAGTCTTTAATGATGTTTCTATTTAGCCTTCATAGGGTTATTTTCTTTGTGGGAAGGGAAATGACCAAATGGATTTGTGCTGTGCAGAATGGCTGTAACTGCCATGCTGGCCTGGACAGCATCTGCTGGGTTATTGTGCAGTCACCTGCTCTTGAAAACAACCACATGATATRATTGTGAAAAAAACCACATTCATACTAATGACTGCATGACACTCACTTTTCTTCTTGTCTATGATCGTCTACAGAACCAAGTGGAATTGGATGAGATAAAACTAATCAGAAATKATGTTAATAAAATGAACAGTTTTCATCGATAAAGAAAACGAGCAAATGCATTTGGTGTGAWAATCTCTTCATAGTTTTTGCTGAATGAGTTTCTTTGTCTATGTTTTGCAAAAACATAAATTGRAATACCCATGCCTTTTTTTTCAAGTGGTGACTGATATCAACCTTCTGATCAAGCTATTTAATCTGTTTTCTGATGGATGCTGAGAAACTTGGATGTTTCAAAATATTTGTGAGTCTTGTTTCATGGTAGAACTAGCTTTTGAGCGTGTTGATTTTTCTTTTATTTTCTTCTTATGTTGAACTGATGACTCACTGAGTCTTCTTAAGCTCTTACATTTGTGGAATTTAGTTTCCATCTATCTGTAACATACTATGTTGTGACTTGCCAGATGGAGAAGAGCTTTGAATGGAGAAGGGTATTATTGGTGGACTTAATGCCATCTCTCCTTAACTCCCTGRTTCATTATAATTTTTGAAATCTGAAGATCAGTGTAGTTAATTTTTGAGTAGGTAGTGTTGTTGCCCTGCACTTTGTGGGGTCATGTTTTTATTTCACTTGTGTGTGCTTATGTTTATGCACTTAGATTATACTGTATTGCTAACATATTGCTAAATGCTGTTCTGTTTTTCTTGGCCCTCTACTGTCTTGATTGCCATAGCGTCAAGTTTATGCCACATGTACAAACTTTTAATGGACAGAAATTCTAAGGAGAACACATTAAAATTGCCAAGTGGGGTTGCCTGTAGTGGCAGACAACTTAGTTATAAAATACTGCTGATGAACTCRTTAAATTTCATCTCAAAAATAGTTATATTATTTTCCATATTGTTCCTGTTGGATAGCTATTCTGAATATTATTTTCTCATGTGATTCCATTTTCCTTTGTAGTTCACTGTTGTAGTTAGTTCTTTTAAACCTTGAATGCGTGATTTTGTCTTGATAAAAATTGTGGCAGCTTTTCAAATCTCAGAACCGTTTAGCTTTAAGCTTTCTCAGGTAGAAGGAARATATTAGGGACAAATTCTTATCAATAAAGTCTGTTAGTAGTAGCAAATTCTGAGATACTGRTTCTCAACTTTTTGTCCACTGTGTATTAATGATAAACAATTTAAGATGTGTATGTAATTCTTGAAGTATAAGAATTTGTTTCCATCCTGCTTTTCAGCATCTTCTTTTCATATAATTTTTGTCCCAAGAGGTGCTTCATTTTTTTTTAACATATTGTCTAAATCTAGAAACTAGCTGTGCATAAAAATTTCCATTMTCTTACGATTAGTCATAAACCAACAATGGACTGTTATATTGCCTGTCTGGGGCATGTAAAATAAAAACACTTTCGGAGGTGATAAAATTACATGAATAAAAAAAAGAAGCAGCTTTGTTCTACATAGGGATTTGACATATCTCTAATTCCAGTTATACAAGATGAAATCATGAGCTAGAAGCCCTCTGTCTGTGGCCRTGTCCACAATTTAAAACAAATACAAAATAGGCCACCTGCATAATCTTTGTCCCATTCAGATTTTAATTTAGTATTAGATTTGGGAGGTTCTTTGAATAACAGGTTTCCATAATGATGTATTTTGGTTTGAAACTTTTGGCTAAAAGCAGTTCTTCCGAAGTACTGCTCAGGCTCTCTTAAAATGTGTTTCAGTGTCTTTCTTGCCCAGTAGCTGCAGAGTTAGTTTGCTAAACTATGATGTGGAGYTCTGAGATTCACTTTTGCCTGCAATGATTTGTGCCTGTATTGCCTGTTTGATTGAAAAATGAGTATCTGGCCATTGATTATTTAAAGCTGGGTAATGCCCAGCTCACCTTTTGATGCTGTTCCATTTTTWAAATTATTTAATATACTAACATTAGAGCCTGACTGAAATCTAGTTGAGCACTCTTATAGTAGTAGTAAGGTATTGATTTTGTATTACTGACTCTCTAGCTAGTTTCATAATTGGGTAAGTATTCTGTAAAAATTAGAACAATTTACAAAAGGCTGGTAAACGAGGTGTGTATTTCTATCTTCCTTTCAGTTTCATTCTCTTTCTTCCTTCCAGAGCATTTTCATTCTATTCCCTGTCCTCTTCCCATTTATATTTTCTTTCTCTCGTTCATTCTGTCCCCAAATTCCCTCCTTGCATTATACTACTCTTCATTTTCTGACATCCCATTAATCTTCCAGGCTTTATGGCTTACTTTCCCACCTCCACAAGCACACCCACAGGATGCTTAGAAATTTTACAGCATACCCAGTTGTCAAAAAACTAAACCTACAAGTCCCAGACCTGTAATACTATGCTGGGAATGCTCATTAACTCCCACACTGTTTGGAAAAAGAAACTGGTATAGTTAGTATAAGGTCTGCAAACCATAATACATGTCTAATATTCCTTTGCTTTCCACTAAACCTGGGAACTCCTCATTTGAGCTGGGAAAGAAGATGGGATCTGGKTTTTTTTGCTTTAATGGTGGTTTTGATCTTTGCAGAAACCAAAGAAAGAGTGACATGATTGTGCAGCTCTAGGGGTGTGACCTCTGAAACATTGGGTTTGAGGAGAAAGCATTGTTTGGCAACAGATCCAARATCCTCTTGCTGCTGTAGGCGGATGTACCAGCGGTGCAGCTGCACCACGGCCAAAGCCAATRTGGGCTTTGTAGCAGGAAGTGCCTGTGGTCTCAGATGCTTCTGTCCAGCCTGACTGCCAGGATTTCTGTCAGACCACGTTTTTCACTGCTGGCAGAAGTCACTAAGGAAAATGACAAATGATTGCATTTCTAATGTGTGTATGATCAACTGATTGCCCCCTCCRCTAATTGCCTGTGAATGCTAATTAAAAAAGCAGTATTCAGTGTATGGATGACAGTGCTTAGTTTTCAAAGGCAATAATTGGAGGCTTTTCTCTTGCTAAATAGCACCCATGCCAGTGTTTAGTGTTGCTAAGTGGAATTATCATCAGATTCAATCTTAATCAGAGGTCTCTTAAATAGTGGACCTGAAGAGTTTTTGGAGAGCTGTCACTCTCCTGTCTCCTGTGTTGAACTATTTGTTGCTCTTTTTTTTTTTTTTTTTTTTTTTTTTTTTTTTTTTTTTTTTTTTTTTTTTTTTTTTTTTTTTTTTTTTTTTTTTTTTTTTTAGGATTTGGAAATAATCACTGCATTGCTTTGTTTTTTAATTCTGCTATGAGGAAAATGAAGTTATTGTCAGCATTAGAAATAGAAATGTAGAAATACAAGCTTAAATTCTGCAGTAGTCAGTCGTGGAGGCTTGACCTGCTTGCTTCTCATTGCTCCTTAGTATTTTTTAAAGCCTGTTTCATGTGTAATCAACTATTTGGGACTTAACTGACAGTACTGTAACAAGCGCTGCATGTTAAAACAATATTACTAGATTCACCGTATAGCTGAGTACAGCTTTAATGTAACTAAGCCCAGAATTAATGGATCAGTCACTGAAAAACCACCCCAGGTTAGATACTGAGAGCAGTACTTCCAGTTCCTTTCTTTCCATTCTTCATATTTAGAGGATGGCACCAAAGGGATCTGAGCAAAGCATCGCTCAGTGATCAAAGGAAATCAGTCCTCTCCTTTACCCTCTGTTCTCTGTTATACAGTAAGGATGCCAGTTATTCAAATAAAATGAATTAGCAGGCTGAACTTAAAAGATTAACTTGCCCACTAAAATAATGACTCATCATGGACAAAACATCCCAATAGTACAGTTAAAGATAATTCTTATTTTTTAATGTCTTCTTTYCCCAGAATCCTACTCAAGTGGGAACAGCTCTTCAGGTTTTCCATAATCTTGGAACTTTGAAGRATACTATTGCTAATGTGGTGGATGGATACTGCACAGTCCTGGAAGAGAACATAAAGAATGCTTTGGATATCAAAGTATTGACCCAACCATCTCAAACAGCAACGAGAGGTGCGGTACTTGTTTTACACAGAATGATAACTGATACTTTTTGACAGCAGTACAGTATGTTATAAATGAAGACACTGTCTCATCCAAGCATGTTCTAGGAACATTTYCCTGCTTGCTTTAGCCAGTAGAGGGTGGGAATAGGCAAATCTCAGAAATAATCTAATTTGGYTTTGCAAGCCAATATCTGTCTGATATTTGGCTTGGACGTTTTCCTTTATTCCTCCCAGCCTCTCTTTCCTATCTTGCCCAGAAAATTGTCCTCGTTMGGTTACAATTTTGTAGCATTTTCTTAGCAGTTTCTCATGAAAAGATGAATCCAAATTCTGCTTRCTTTGTATTGGTGGGGGAATCACAGGTGGAAATTACCTGCATCAATGGAAGACGCCTGCAACTACATTGTTACACTTTTGTTAGGTGGAAATTGTTTCACAGCACACTATTCAATATGAAGAAATGTTGCACTATTAAACATTTACTTCCCAGTTAGCTCAGATGCCAAAAATACTGAGTAATTGGGTGGGCAGGCAAATTTGAACTTTGGCTATATGAACATCTAATTTTTTTTTTAAAATCTTGCAACAAGATGGGATTCCAGAACCATAATCAGTGTCATAATAAAGAAATTAATCCCTGGCAATAGCTGTATTTTTCACAGCTACTCTCCCTGCCATTTTGCTTTGCTGTTACATCCTGCAGAACTGCTCACTGGCATTACTTAGGTGTCTCTGTGGAGGTTTGAATTTGGTAGAGCATGTAACAGTCATGGGCATGAAGTATCCACACTGAACTTCAGAGCATAGTCGACTTCTCAGTTGAGACAACTGAGGCCATTCACAAAGCTCTGTTCTGAAAGTATTTTAGGTTGCTTTGGCTTAAAAAAAAACATTTTTCAAAGTGCATAGAGATCTCTATTTCTAATATTTAAATTTTCATGTGTGGAACCTGAAATGTGCTGCTTTGTATTTTTAAAAACTGTTTAGGTGGCCCTGGTAGAGCTGCTATGCCAACACCTGGGAACACAGCAGCTTTTCGAGCAGCCCTCTGGACAAACATGGAGAARCTCATGGATCAGATCTGTGCTGCTTGTGGACAGGTACTCTGCAGCTAATTCCTGTTTGTCTAGTCATGAAATTTTGGATAAAAGAATTTAGATGTCACTTTTCCTCTCAATAAATTCTTTCTTACAGGTGCAGCATTTGCAGAAAGTGTTGGCAAAGAAAAGAGATCCCGTGTCACATGTCTGCTTCATAGAGGARATAGTTAAGGTAAAATTTTAGTTTAGCTGAATATGCTTTAGTAAATCTGTTAAGAAAAATGTGATGAGAGAATGAGTTTGTTTACAATTTTACAGTTCCATAATTTTTTAAAATTATACTGATGGGAAAGTGTTGAAAGTCAACCCAACATTGAAGGATGTATTTGTGGTATSTGGGTTATATTTGTAGGATGTAAACTTTCATTTTGTTGTAATTTATTGTTTCCTTTTAAAGAGAGCTGATAAGACAYAACTGTATGGATCATTAATGTCATTCCATAATACCATGTGATTTGAGTAATTAATTTAATCTGTTAGTTTGCATAGGGGAATGTGTCTTCATCTATCATTTTCAGCCATCTGTTTCTCACTTCTTGACAATTTCTCCCTTGAAAAATAATCATGGCTGTTCTTTTGAATACCTATTATTTTCCATTCATTTGCATTGTTTTTTATTCATATTTGGAATAATTTGATTAATGGTCTCCTTCMGTGTTAGGAACAGGATTACTGAAACTGTCTCATCTACCTTGTAAAAGACAGCAGAAACAAAAGATGTGTTCCTGCTGACATCTGTTTCCAAGTGTATAACTGGATTTTTAATTTACATGGACTTAATATTTGAAATAACTTGGGGAAGCTCTTCATATGCAAACGTGGTCTTCTCAACAGTGAAAGCAAGGAATGAAGGTTAAATACAGCCTTTACATTTATCTGTCTCTTAAGCCCATCTCCAGAAGATGTTGCACAGAGCATCACTTTTCAATGAGGCACTCAAGCTTCTCTTTCTGTGTTAAAACAAACAAAAAAAACCAAACCACAACAACAACAACAACAACAAAAACCAAAAAACAAAACCCTACAACCCCCCAAAAAAAGTCTGTAAACTTTTAGCATATTTTCTTAATTACAAAGTTTAATCTGGAAAAAAGTACCTATTGCTGCCTAGGTGGATCAGCCCTTCAGTGGATCAGCATGTTTAGGGAGAAACATAGAAGCCTGGAGACASACCAGAAATGCTGAAAGGTTCAGGAAGGATTTGGATGGAAAGGGAGCTTATAGATAAATGATCTTGGTGTTTTTGAGTGGCTCCCACCTGTGCTTCTCATTTTCACTCTTCYCTGTTGTAAAACATCACTTGAAAAGGAATTTTTCAACAACTGAAAAAGAAGTTTTTCCAGTTGTTGAGGTTGCTAATAGAGGGAAGCCAAGAGAAATACTTTATCATCCTGGAGACTAAATGAACAGGGAAAATTAATTTCAATAGAAGCAGGGTAGGGAAAAAACTCATTAGAAAATAAAAGACTTACTGGGCTGTCTTATGCTAAGCATGTTCCATGATCTCTCTGATTACCCTTCCTTTCTTKTAAGCTCATATTGCAGGATTGCATCTAAGTGAAAATTTGTATTTCCAAAATAAAATCCATCTATTTAATTCTCCACAGTTATCACTCTTSCAATCACTTTGCTCTTTGCTGGGTRTGTTGGTGTGGTATAGCACCGGGCTGGACATTGTCAYTCTCAGTGGGGCAGCTGAGGAGGAGTGGTACAGAGTTGTCTGATGTTCTGTTAGCAGAGCTCTCAGCATGGCACAGTCCTGCTGATGGCTCTGATGCTTTACTTACTTCTTGCCTGAAATGGTTCAGTGTAGCATGGTGTTTTTCTTGGACATTCTCACAGTTAGACAATTTATTCTGGTGTCTCTTGAAAAAGGTGKGGCACCAGGCTGCAGATGGGTGAGGGCACACCAAGCAGTAGAACTGTTTTTTTTTATAAAACCAGACAAGTGCTGCACACTACTGAAATTCAGAAGTGTGTGTACAGATAGTTGTATGGGGGAGTATGACTTGTTTTTCACATTGAAAGTAGATCTAAATAAGAAATTGGTATTTTGCCATTTACTAATGAAGATTCCATCTTGTATTAAACCAAACTGAAACGTGCTTTCCTCAGCAAGTGTTCTGGAGAGGGAGAAACGTTGGATTTTCTTTAGTGTATTCAATTTCATTAATAGACTGAGCAAATGAACCAAACARACTAAAGGTACTAACATTCTACCCGTTTGCTAGAGCAGCATGCCCACTCCAGAAGATGGGAAAACGAATCATCCACTCTACAGTCTGTGCACTAATTAYTGTTACTGATGTCAACATTATTATTATAGTCATCTTCTGCAGCAGCTGCAGTACCACTTTGACTGTCCATCTGCTTCCTTGTTTTGATTACTGCAGTGCAAGTATCATCCTTGGAAGCATAAGAGAGGAGGAGACCCAGCCTTTTTAAAGCACAAGTCCTTTAATAGCAAGGAAGCTACTTGCCTTTTTTTTTTTTAAAGTCATCATTCTCTTTTTCCATTGAGGAGTTTTTGTGTTTCTCTCTTCACAGATAGCACAGCCTGCAGTTTTTCTAATTTTGTATTGTGATCTCAAACACGTGCTTTCCGGCTTTCTAATTACCTGCTACCATGGTAATATTTAGTAGTGTTGTATCATGTTGTATCCAAARATGTAGTTTTAAAAACACTATCTAATTAATTAAAAGATTCACAAATACAATCCTTTAAAAAAATTTAAAAAAGGAAACAAAACCAAACCTGACAGATGAAGAAACTGAGGTACAGAACTTGGAAAATTTTAAATACTSCAGTTCAGCAAGAGGACAATGACAACCCCTGTGTCTTTTCTTCCCTATGGTTTCTCCTACAGAATTCCCTTCCAATTTTTTCCAGCATYAGGTGTGGCCAAGAGTTAAGTAACAGACTCAGGCTTGCATGCGTRTCATGGATGAATATGGAGATGAAATTTATACTGCACATTTTTTCCCTGCTTCCCATTGCAGATCTAGATTTTAGTATTTTTCCTTTTGTCATAATATGAAATAAACRCAATTTTGAAAAGAAGTTATGCACTCATAGTACCTTGTACAAACTGCTTCATTTCATACTAGTAATGAACTATAGATTATCAGTGTTTACGTATTTAAATTACCGATTTAATTTTTWAAAAAATCTATTAACTGTTTAAAGGAGAAATATGATTGAATGGACATTTTTGTGGGTCTTATGTAAGAAAAAAAGACTTTAATGATGAGATTTGAGTTGAAGAGAACTAAAATAATTCAGAAGTTATGGAAGTCTGATTTCTAGTTTTGGGGAAAGTGAATAGATTGTATAAATTGTATAAATTTTGTCATTGTATAAATTTTTTAAAAGATAAGGTTAATGTCATAAGGGTAAAAATTAAAATTACAAATAAGATTTAAATAATGTAAATTTGATATTTTTGTTCACCTAATGACTGGTTATTTATATCACTTCTTTCAATTGCTTAATTCACCTTCAGAGAGCTAACAGGTTACTCCAGTTTATTCTGCTTTATTGCTTTTCTGTTTCAATGTGTAGTGACTAATCCTTCCTCAGCTGTTGTAATGCCTAAACTACAATTGACTTCAGTGTAAATCGCAGCAGAACATATCTCTCTGTGACAGCCACCTTCCTAATTGGAGATAAGAGTCCCTTTTAGCACCTTGTAAAAGARTTGAAAATGATCTTTGATCCTCATCTGTTTTGGGTCCTTCACTCCTGCATAGGCATCAGGGAACAGTTCTGCCACGAGAAAAGCAACCTGAAAAGCAGCAAATCATTTTGTAGGGAGGGATTTGGGGTTGTCAGTGGAAAGGATGTGCTGGGGTCTCTGCTGGGCAGAAAGGCACAGGCAGATCTGCCCTTGCTTGCCTTTGGATGTCCTGTTTGCAACCAAGGCACATCACAAACCCTGTCATTTACGTAAGCCTCCGGGTAAAAAAGTGAGCTGAGAGTTGTAGGGAGTGTTATTATGTACTTTGTGGAGGGCTCTTATCATTGCTTCTGCTGATGAATGTTTGGTGAGTAAGCAGGCTTTTTTCCTGAGTTGTCAACACTGGCAATATGAGGTGTTAACGATGTAGAAAGAAATGTCCTCAGCATTACATAAGATAAAGAAAATAAATGGAAAATATAGATATATATTGACAGAGTGTACTTATATTTCACCTTCTTATTTCTCCTCCCCATCCAAACTTGTTAAAAAATGTTGCTGCTTTGAAATTATTCACATCTATCATCACATATTCACATTCAGTTGACCCAATTAAAAAATAATCCCAAGTGGAAAAAATTGAAAAATAATCTAATTATTGTCTTATGTGAATTCAGAAAATAGTACAGTTTTCACCAGTTATTATGAGTATATGATTTATTTTTCAGTATTTTTTGTAGAAGCAGGATTGGATTACTTGCACATCATTTTTTTCTGTGATTTCTGTTTGTTATCTAAGCAATAATGAGGCTCTTTGTGAAGATCTAAACACAGGTGAATGAGCAGGTTTTTGGTTCCCAAAATACYAAACATGCTCTTTGTTTCACATCTACAAATTGCCCTGCTGAATTCACTAGCAGCATTTTTGAGGACTCTTAAAGAGCAGTGAAGATCATACCAGTTACAAGTCCTGATTCTCGCTTTGAATGGATCTGTGTGCCCAGACMGCTATACTAAAAGTAATTTGATTCTAATTCACATGGGAGGTCARAGCCTGTGCAATGGTTTTCTAATGACACTACAATTTCTCTAGAACTTTAATTCYGTTTCTCTGACAGAAATGTGCAGCTGTGAAGAAAAGGGATGGTGTGGAGGTTGTGTGGGTTAGTAGGTAATAATGACCTTTGTTCTTTTTCACTTCTGGTTTAGTGATGTTTGTGGAAATTGCAGATCAGTGATGACTGCAAGTTATTAAGTCAGTTGGTTTTCAGTCAGCTTGCTGTTGGAAAAGAAATACATTTACCAGAAGTGCCACCTTTTATCATCATTCTTGTCAATCTTACCTGAACAGCTCCAGGCTGAGTGGACATGGTAACGAACCACCCTTTCATCCTTGGAGGGGATATGGAGTAGTCAAGGTGAAAGCACAGTTTGAATTGAAGCTATACATACTAAATCACTTCTCTGGATAGAAGAAAGCTGTCAAATCCCTGGG